TTATTGAGTCCTACTGTTCGGTAAAGATTTAGTCCTTTTTTCTTGTAGCTGTACATTACAAAAAATATGAGAACTGTCATCATTTGCTGACTAAACAATTATTGAGTTTTGGAAGAGATTGAGTCCTTTAAATATTGCATCCATTTGACATGATTACTGTTGCAGGTGGCTTCAAGGAGTTCGACAACACTTGCAACAACAGCACAAGTTGAAAAAGTGTGATATAGAGGCTCAGGTTGTTACAGCAGCAACCGAAACTGCCTCGGCCCTTCCGCAGTATCACCAACAACCTCAGCCTACTCAGCAGCAGCAGCAACAGCAACCGCCGCACAACCACAGCCAAGCACAACAACAACAACAACAACAGCAGCAGCAGCAGCAGCAGCAACAACAGCAACCAGGTCTTCCTCAGCCTCCTACTCAGCACCCAGACGATAACACTCCAGGGAGAGAGTACCACACACTAGAAGCTGCAGCACCCAATGATGATGCAACTAACCAGCAGACCTTAAACATGTTCCATGTATCAGATGTGGAAGGGCAACAGCAAGGGATGTTCCAGTACCACTAAAAGAAAGTGTATAGATATATGTTTTATTATCTGGAATTATGATCTGCAGTAGTTGTTGGAAAGACTGAAAAATGTATTGAAACTACTGGACTGTGATATGCTTCTCATAATATTCTTCCATCATGTCCTTATTCGTGCTCAGTAAAAGACTCAGGCAGATTATTTAAGGTGCGCATTCCTAAATGCTGTTCATATGCTATAGTCCCTTTATATTTTTTGAGGTATTGTAAATATGATACATAACAGTGTGATGTATTTGATATCTTGAAAAATTAATTAAGGCATAAATGTATGGAGACGGCATGATATTCAAAGCACAATATTGTTTTGATGTCCAGATTATCCTTGGCAGTTCTATAAATTGGTTATCTCTTTTCCTTTCTCTCTTCTGCTCTGCCTTTCTTCTTTTTTTCTCTCTTCCCTCACTTCCACTTTTTCTCACTCTCTTCCTCTTTCCCTTTCCCTCCCTGTATGGCACAGTGTATAGCGTGTTGGTCTAGCAATCTTGCTGACCTGCATTCAATCCGGCGTGCGGCCAGTGGATGGTAACACTGACCATCCCTTGCACACAGGGGGAGATTTTGAAACAAAATGAAACAGACAGTATGTCCCAGCATACAATATCCATTGTAACAAATGGATTTAAAACTAAATCTTAAACAGTTCATCTCTTCCTCTTCATTTCCCACCTTCTTCCACTCTCCTTTCCTTCTCTCATGATTAAACACGTAGTGTCACACTCACAGCATACAAGCAAATGCTGTTTATGCTTCCATGCATGTGCATTCTCACTACCTCTCTATCCAGATGTACATAGAGAAAATATTTATATATGGAAGCTGATTTTATGCATAATTTAATCCTTTAATCATATGCAAATAATTTTTAACCATTACTGACATAAGATGAATATACTTCTTGTTCATGGTGTCATAATATATTGTTCATAAGCATTTTTTGTGATATTTATTGGTTGTTATGAATGTAAGTATTTTATAAGAAAAAAGTAAAATATTGGTCACTGTAGAAATATTAAGTACTGTGTTGTGTTTGTTTTATCAATAATGACGCCAGATAAATGAGAAATAAAATCATGTTGATATTCTATCATTTTTATTCCTGTACATAATTAGAGGATGTATTTATCTATTTATTGTGTTTAGTGGAAGAGGAGTGAGAGGAGAGGAGAGAATTGTGTTCATCTTAAATATATTTGGATATACATAAATAAAAACAGCAAAAATATAACCATTCAATTGACATAATTTCTACTAGCAAATTATAACCAAATTATGCAATATAAATCACTAGTTCAATAAATAAAATGGTAGAAGGTTAAAAGCAAAACAAATGTGCTAGACATCCAAGGTCAAGTAACACTATAGGAAGGTAAAGTAAAGGGTGGTTGAGTTAGTAGTTGGTTGCTATGCATCAACTATCATGGGTAATATTGAAAATGTTAAAGATGGGTAAAGGAGTTGATGACTGAATGGGTTACGGTGGGTTTAGGTAAGGGGATTAGATCAAGTGAAGGACATGTATGCGTCTGAGGAAGAATAGGTTGTTAAAGCAGAAAGTGTGGGATTCTGTAAGGATGTCTGATAGGTTGGGAGGATAGGTAGGGGAAAGCAGAGGTGTGGGCTATATCAAGGCATGGACAGGACAACAATGTGTGGAACTGAAAGAGGATCATTACATAGGGGACATACCCCCCAATCCCACTTCCCTATGCCTCTATTCCTCTGACACCAGTCTCCAACTCTCCAACCAACTCCACTACATGAACTCCTGAAGATGTTCAAAACTTTCTGCTCGAGTCCCAAAATGACACCAAAACGAAATGAAACAGACAGTATGTCCCAGCAAACAATATCCATTGTAACAAATGGAATTAAAACTAAATCTTAAACAATTCCTTTCTCCCTCTCCCTCTCTCTTCCTCTCTCCATTTCCCACCCTCTTCCACTTTCCTTTCCTTCTCTCATGATTAAACACGTAGTGTCACACTCACAGCATACAAGCAAATGCTGTTTATGCTTCCATGCATGTGCATTCTCACTACCTCTCTATCCAGATGTACATAGAGAAAATATTTATGTATGGAAGCTGATTTTATGCATAATTTAATCCTTTAATCATATGCAAATAATTTTTAACCATTACTGACGTAAGATGTATATACTTCTTGTTCATGGGTGCTCATAATATATTGTTCTTAAGCATTTTTTGTGTTTATTTATTGGTTGTTATGAATGTAAGATTTATAAGAAAAAAGTAAAATATTGGTCACTGTAGAAATTTTAAGTACTGTGTTGTGTTTGTTTTATCAATAATGGCGCCAGATAAATGAGAAATAAAATCATGTTGATATTCTATCATTTTTATTCCTGTACATAATTAGTGGATGTATTTATCTATTTATTGTGTTCTTAGTGGAAGAGGGAGTGAGAGGGAGAGGAGAGATTTGTGTTCATCTTAAATATATTTGGATATACATAAATAAAAACAGCAAAAAGGTAACCATTCAATTGACATAATTTCTACTAGCAAATTATAACCAAATTATGCAATATAAATCACTAGTTCAATAAATAAAATGGTAGAAGGTTAAAAGCAAAACAAATGTGCTAGACATCCAAGGTCAAGTAACACTATAGGAAGGTAAAGTAAAGGGTGGTTGAGTTAGTAGTTGGTTACTGTGCATCAACTATCATGGGTAATATTGAAAATGTTAAAGATGGGTATTAGGGGCAATGAGGTTTGCCCCTTCATCAGATAGCCCCATCAGTTCAAACTCTCCCTGTTCCCCGACCCCACGCTCTCCTATGACCACGACTCTGAACACTGTTACTACTACCCACTCCTTGATGCCTACTAGTGCATTACCCACCCAAAGCGAGACTCAATCTCCAGAAGACATTCCTACTCTCCCAACTTCCTCAACTCTACCCCTAGAACCTTCCTCACCAATCACCCCATCCTCCCATACCGCAACTTTACAGCCTAATGTCCAACTCTCCGTAATACTATCCCCCTCAACAATGCTCTCTCTTCCATACGTCCCCGTCCTTCTACCATTCCCAACTCTACAAATATCTTAAATACTCTATTTAGCCCAGCCAAATGAGACCGATTTTATGTGATCCCCCTACCCTCAGCTCCTTACTCTGACAGCACTTCTCTTTCAGCAATGTCATCAAAACAAGTAGGCAAAGTCTCTTCATTGCCAACCCGATCGTTCCCGTCTTGTCAGTTAAATCCGAAAACTTATAGCATTATCAACTCTAATTGATCTCTCTGGCAACACCATTCCTGCAGAACCTCATCCAACTCTTAATACTTGTATGGAACTGTCTCTATCTTCCTAGCAAACTGCCCTATCTATATCAAAGATTAGTCAGATTGTGGAGAACTTACTCGCCTGCTTCACAGACTATGATGTAATATCAGTACAGAGCTACTCCATTCCTCCTAGAAGTCATCATAAGAACCCCACCAACATTGCCAAAATTATTTTCCGTAGACATGACCTTCCCTTTAATATTTACATTGGTGGAGAATCCCTCCCTGTTCAACCCTATCAACTTCCTCCCTCCAATGTCAAAACTGTTAGCATTTAGGACATCCTGCCCAAGGTCTATATAAGTACTTATATAGACTTTGATCCTGCCAAACACTGCCATTCCACAGCCCGATGCCCTCTATGTGCCCTCTATGGTCATAACCGATCAAACTGCTCTGCACAGTCACGCAATTGTGCTAACTGCGGCGGCGGCCCCCATAATGTATTTTATAGAGGCTGTCCCACCTGCAAGTTTGAGTCTGAGGTGGCAACTCAGATACAGACTAGGTCTCACTCTACATGAAGCCAGACAGGAAGCACATCAACAAGGTTTTTCTCATACTCCCTAGTCTCCCTACTCCAGTAATGTCGGTCGCTCTGCCCCTCTCCCTCCCTCTCAAGATGTTCCTACACCCTCCCCTATACCCATCTCTCCTACATCTTACTTCCCAACTTCTACCTCCTACCTCCCCCAGTCAAATTCTTTTGCCACTCTAAATCCAGACACTTCAATTTCTACTGCAGCCCCAACACCTTTCCCTCTCCCTCCCTGCACTACCCACAGCAGATAGACTACACTTTCCACCCCTTCTCCTACCACACACTCATCTCCACTTACCTTTGCCTCTACTCCTCAGACTCCATTCTCCTCTTCCCACCCTTTGTCTCACTAAACTTTCCAACCAACTCCACTACAGAAACTCTTGAAGATATTCAAAACTATTGAGTCGCAAAATGACACCGAAACCCCTCACCCACCTTCAAATTCCATAACTCAAAGTGATTGCCGATATGGCACTGGCACAAAGTCCACCTTTCATCCCTTCGTTCTCACACCTTAGGAAGTGGATAGTACATGAGGATGGAGAAGGGATGGAAACAAAAGAGCAGGAGGGAGAAAAGACAATGCAAAATTAGTTGAGTCAAGGGCTGAGGCCAAAGGTAGGGGAGATCCCCAGCATTGGGTCTCCGTCCCCATCTCCAAAGCCCCCCATGACAACGGGCAAGGGATTGGGGGGTTAGTAAATAAAAAAAATCTGTAAATATAGTAAGATATTATATGAAAGAAAGCACAGGCAGATGAATAGTGATTGAAAGGGGGGGCAGGAGAGAAAAAAACGTGAAGCTGAGAGACAAACAATAAGCAGCAGAATAGAAAAATATAAAAAGCCAGAATTATTTTACTATAAAACACACACAAATGCTGATCATGATATTTGTATTGTGCTCAAATGCTGTATCAGTTTTATTGATATTTATTAGGGAACTGATGCAGCAGCCTTCCAAGGTGCACTTATTTCTTGTTTAATAATAAAATTTTGATGTTACTGAAGAAACAATATGAATAAACTTTTTTCTTTTTTCATAAGTAATGAGTGATACTTCTTTGCATAGACCAATTGTGTTAACTTCAAGAAGTGGTATGCATGTATCCATGCCCAAACTCTCATGCAGGCAAGTGAGTTTATATCTTATTTTTTCTGTTTTGTGTGTTGGTGTTGGTACGCAAGATTGTATATATCAGAACAGTAGCTTGCACCCACTGTCACATACAGCTGAACATGAATATAAACATTTCAGTTTATAAATGGTAATATAAGTGTTCTATTGTTTAAAACTGCAAGTTCTTCAAAAGCACCATTTCTAATCTCTCACCTCAATACTCCTTTTGCCTTGTTTATCGCCAGTTGAGATCACCAAAATCACCTCAGTAATAATGGTTAAAGAAATTACACACATTTTCTTCATGTCATGACAGTTAAATTAGGACAGTCTATAGATAATAAAATACCTCTGGCCACAGGAAGATGCCACTAGCTTTCTATGAAAAGGTAAAGCATGTTGTGCTGATATGTAAATAACATTTTTGTTGATATACTAAATGGTAAATGGTAATTTCTTGGTTGAATCTTCTTTTTAATTTGATATTTCTGTGTTGCACAGACTACAGAACTAACAACCACAATATATAAATAAAATATATAAATAAATTAATGAATATACAATAAAAATTAAATATATATATACAATAAAAAAATAATATACAATATACTTGAAAGTAAATATGAAACTATTGGAAGTCCGTATACACATCACACACAAAGGCTGCACTATTTTACTTCCCACAACTTGCCGCGCACACAGGCATTTAGTGGCCAAGAAGTCAATAACTATGCCGATGGGATATCTTTATGCCATTCCTTAAATTTAGGAAAAAAGTTTTCCGTTGATAGTGGTATTAATAACAAAATCATAACAATTCTTTTTTATTAACAGTACCATCATCTTGAGATCCCTATAAATGATAACATTAATCACATTAATATATAATCATCCCTGAAAATTCAAGGAATTTGGTAAACAGGCAAGATAAGGTAGGCCTAGTATAAGATGCTTGTGAAGCCATCTACATGCAAATAGGATTAATAAAAGTATTAATAAAGAATCATTGGATATGCTATGTATACATATATTCCCTGCATGTTAAGAGCACAGAGGTAAAAGTGGTTTGTTAATATTTATTTATTTATTTTTTTTTTTATTATTATCATTTTTTTTTTTGGGGGGGAGGTGGAAAGGTGTAATTCCAGATAGACTACCTGACATTAAAAATTATTCTGTAAAATTGAGCCTAGACAGTGTACCTTTACCATCATAAATTTTTGTTTATTTCAAGAGCAACAGGTCTATTGATGTATGTAAACTTTAAATGTATAATTCTGACAATACCAGTCCTCTACCTTCTACCACCAAGTCAAATTAATGCTATGCTTCTGACAACTTTAAAAGGATGTATTGCTTGAGACTCTGATGAGAACTTTCACCAAACTTTCCTCATCCTCTCGGCATGGCTGCAAAAACAACAGACCCACCTGGTTATATCAACAGTTGCAGCCATGACTGAGGTCTGTGAAAAAGGAAACCCAAGTGGTAATCTCTTTTTTTTTTTAATTTCTCTTAACTGGTGAAACTAGGCTTCAAAGGGATAAGAATATGGTAATCAAACATTCAAAAAATATAATATTTTATTAAAAGGAAGTGTATATATGATTTGTAGTATACAGATATTACCCTCATTATCCGTAGGACCCTAAAATCAGTTTATATTGTAAAACACTATTACAAGAAAAGAATTTACGTCATTTCATCAATCAGAACTATCAAAATTGTCTTCATCCTAAAATAGGTAATCAAAGCAAAACTTTAAAATATCAAGGAAAACATTAATCATATCCTGGTCCTTGAAAAGGTTAAAATCATATGTTCACCTTCCTGAGATAATTGCAAATCAATAGTGTCTCATTAAAAGTGCCAACAGCATAGAAGAAAATTTAATAGCCAGATGCCATTAATTTGTCATTAATTCAGTATCTTCATTGTTTCCAACATGGTCTGCACACACAAAGCGCACTGCAAGAGAATTGAGAAGCTGATTGCTCTATGTTCGAGAGAGCTTCTCAGGAGGCATGTACCCACACTCCCCTAGTTGCCAAAGGCCCACCCGGCCATCTGGTCTAACTACAAGGTGTGTTATGCTGCCGTTGTGTAGGGTGAGGCGCAACCATGCTTCTGGGGGTAGCTGGAGAGCTCTGTAAGGGACAGGGTTTGAGGTTCGGTAAATTTTTACTTTCTAGTAAAAGATATATCAATCCTGACAACAATACCAATGAATACCAATATATACAAGTAATGACATCTCTAAATATGCATATCTTCCATCATCTAAAATTTCATCTATGATTTGCAAAAAGAAAAAATGCTATATGGACAACAATCTTGGGAATTTTCTAATGACTTCATTTCATAATTATGACTTCGACAGTGCTTTTGTATATAGCCTACGAAAAGACAGCTGCTAATAACTGTTTCAGAAAATTATCATATAGTATAACAAACTATAACAAACTTATATACTTCCACTAACATTTAAAACTTCCATTACCAAAGAAATTACATATTAGCACTTTGTCATGAAAGAAAAAAAAAAAATCCTATTATAACCTTACAACAGGCTGCCACAGAGTAGACACTCACCTGCACACAAAATATCTAATAACATTGGCATGACACACAAAGACCTCATAACTATCTTTTTCCTGGGAGGCTGGAGCTCTATGAATGTATTTTCTGAAGGCAGCTTCAATGCGTGCGCCATCAGCGTAAAACTTCTGAGAGAAATGGGATTACCATTATCTTTTCTTATTTGTAAATGTCATAATATAGGTCAATAAACATATAATTTATATTACATAACTATACAATTAACTGAAAGGCTGATATTTATATATCTTTTTTTTTTTTTTTTTAAGAAGAAGAAAAAAAGGATGAAATCTAAATGTGTTAAATCACACGAGCTGAAGGCTAAATTCCCGAAATTCTTCTTACGTGCATCTCTGGCTTCCAGCTCCCAATAGGAGGCTCTGGGGGTATTGGTGCTCCTTCCCTTAATAAATCACATCTTTCAATTACTTCAACATTTTCTAGTTTTTTAAGGATGATTTCTGCAGTTTCTGTGGCACGTGTCATTGTTGAGTAGACGACACGAGAGTATGGGTAGGTGAGTTCTTGAAGGCGTAGTCCTGTCAAAGCTGCTTGCTCTCGACCTGAGTGAAAAGGAAAAGAATTTTTTAAGTAATCCAACTGCTCTGACTATTCATTTGTTGTAATATTACCAATACATACAAACATATGCAGACACAGACAGACAAGACACAAACATACATACGCATGGAGGAAAAGATTTTTATTAAATGCAAGACTTCATCAAATAAATTTCTTTTCATCAAATATATGGCTTCATTTGAGAGTGAAAGGAAATCTATTTATAAACTTTTGTACCAGTCTTTAGTACAAGTCTTTTCCATTTTTTGTAAAATACACTATATGCATATCATATAACAATTGCGTTTTGATACCATACCCAGACTGGTGAGGTAACGTTCATGATCTGTAGGTCCTTCGAGGTTGTATTGTCCATGACGGATGAAGATCAAATGCCGAGAAGCAGTGGGACGGACTTTTTCATAGCGATCATCGTGACCATCAAGATTATTATTATTTTCATCGCCTTTGGATTTTGGAGGCTTCACTAAACTGTGCACTCCTCGTCTGGCAGGGAAGGAAGAAAAGTTAGAGGATTAGGAAACCATGTTTAGCAACATTATTTTTGTAAAATGTATGGCTAAGCCTTCTGGGCAATAAAGATTTTTACAAATGGTGACAGAAAAATGCATGATATATTAAACCCAACCTAACCAGTCTTCTTCAAAGGAAGAAACATCAGTGTTCTGTGTATCTGCTTATATAATGCCATTCACTAACAGTAACTTTTTCATGTGATGACTCAAGAGGGCTGAAAAAATCTAGACATTTGCAAAACACATCTTAAGTTATCAGGAAATTCTACATACATGACTTTACAAATTCCTAATAATTTGCTACTACACTGCAAAATAATGTTAGCAAAACAATAACAGGAGGTATACACCTGCTTGCTGAGAATTATAACTTGTCACTGATTACTATCAAAAGGCTGAGACTGAGGCTAGTCATAAGTGCAAGTGACAATACGAAATGGTCCAGTGCCGTGTGCTGCTTTATACATAGTGTTCCAAGACAGACAGAACCTGCATTCATGAGGACTAAATTAATTATGAACACTTAACAGTAACCACACCTGTCTTTTTCTTTGCTCATCCTGAAAGCCTTGGACATACCCAAAAGGCTCAGGAAAGGAAAGGTATCAGCCAGGCTTATGGTACGATGCACAATCACAGAGCACATTGTAGGCTCCCAGATAAATCTTCAACAGCTGCTGCACAGTAATATTCACCTGATGAAGGTAAGGATTACACTGTTCAACTGGCAATAACACATGAGTACAAAAGCTGCACAATCACCTCCACCAGTTGTTCAGATTAATAGTAGTTAAATATTTTAAACTGTTCCTACTAGTCAGTAGTGTAAATACTTTGTGTCTTTAAGCTAACATGGACAGTTTCCTTTCCAACAGATAGCTTACATAAGATTAGATACCTTTATATTTTGTTCTCAATTCGTTATCTAAAATCTTGGGGAGATATGAAGTCTACAAATCAGTGTTGAAATAGAAGAAGAAAACTAGACAGAAATGGTAAATATAGAAATTAGTACAAAAGGAAGAGGGACACATATCTCCTGTGTGGATATCCAGGGGCCATATGATTAGCATGGAATCCAGGCCCTTATCCCTCGGGTACAAGACAACAACCGTCTCTTATATAGCAAGGCACAGTTCAGTAAGAAAATATATTATAATTATTCTTGGTTTTGGCTTTATCTTGCAACATATATATTAATCTGTTAACTCACTACCTTACAACACATATATTAATCTGATAACCATTATACATAATAGGACAGAATACCTTTTGAATCTAGTCCCTGTGAAAGAGAAACAAACAGTCCATAATTTGAACATCAGTTGTGTTGCAAATAGTATGATAATGTCAAAATAAAGTGTTAATAGGAGGAGAGTTACTTCAAAAGCTTTTGTTTTGTACATGGAAGGATACATTGTAAAACCTAAACTTGGTTGCTGTTCTACACTTAAAGGGAAATGTCTACCATAGCAACTGAACCCATAGCTACTGACAAATGATATTTTTTTTTTTAAGATAAGCTTTCAATTTCAAGTCCTGCAAGGATTTTTGCGAGGCTCTCAACCCAATTCCACTTGCTGTTTCCCAGTTTCAGCTCTATTGTTTGTTTGTGACATCGAGCTCGGGACACACTGGTGTACTGTAAAGAATTACCAGATTTTTCCTGGGATATCTATGTCACATTAAGAGAAAAGTTTTTCAGTACTAATATATATATATATATATATATTATATATATATATATATATATATATACACACACACACACACACACACACACACACACAAAATCATCCTAGTTGGAAACTTTCCTTATATGTCTGAGTGCTTGTATTTGCTACTGCTAAAGTCTGTGTGTGTCCCAAGTGGTAGTGTGTGTCCCAAGTGGTAGTGTGTGTCCCAAGTGCCAAGTGTGTGTGTGTCCAAGTGGAAGTGGTGTGTGTCCCAAGTGGTAGTGTGTGTCGTGTAGTGTGTGTCCCAAGTGGTAGTGTGTGTCCAAGTGCTAGTGTGTGTCCCAAGTGGTAGTGTGTGTCCCAAGTGCTAGTGTGTGTCCCAAGTGCTAGTGTGTGTCCCAAGTGCTAGTGTGTGTGTCCCAAGTGCTAGTGTGTGTCCCAAGTGGTAGTGTGTGTCTACGTGGTAGTGTGTGCCTCAGTGCTAGTGTGTGTTACTGCAGGTGTCTGCTAGTGTGTGTCTGGGTGCTAGTCTGTGTTACTGTAAGTGTCTGCTCGTGTGTGTCCAAGTACTAGTGTGTGCCTGAGTGCTTGTATTTGTTACTGTAATTGTCTGATAGTGTCCGAATGCTAGTGTGTGCTTGAGTGCTAGTTTGTGTTACTGTAAGTGTCTGCTTGTGCATTTAAACAAGTAGCTGAATATATGTGAGTGTATGAGTAAGCATGTATGTATGAGTGAATGTATTGATGACTGAGTGAAAGTGTGAGTAGAGAATGTTACAAACACAAACATACCAATAAAAGAAAACTATAAGCTTCAAAATCCTTAGGCCAAACCAGTCCTGCAGTACCCTGAAATTCCCCAAAACGACGGAAAATAAGAGATCTATTCACCTGTCCCAATTCCAGTCCCACTTGACGGAAGGCGTGTAACCCGTCGTCCATGAAGCCAAAGCGGTTTTTCGGTTTTCCTCACTTGCTATGACATAACCAGCTATAGCTCCTCCTGCAGTGGCTGCGAGTACGCTCAGGCGCCCTATTTTTCTCATCCAATGCATTGTATTTGAGTTCCTGGAGATTAAACAGTGAAGATTCTTGGACACGCTCTCTCTCCTTCTACTATCAGCTGGCCGAAGTAAACATGTCTTTTACATATATGACATTTTGATTTGATTAGGCCAGAATTAACTGCTCGTATTAATGAAAATTATTTGTAGAATTATTTTGTGTTATCTAAATATTTATTTTTTGATAAGAATAATGCGAAAAGAATTACATTTATATACATCATCTCTTTGATTTACTGCCTCAATCTATTTAGATAAAATATTCAACAGAGGTTATTCATACCTCAAAAGAAATAAAAATAGAATGGAAAAATACCAAATAAATGACTGGCATAATAAAACATGGTAATCATAGAGAAAATACAGACGATATTTATTTTCCAAAGGTGTTGTCATCGCAGAGCCATCTAGCGGCTGCCTTTTGAGTTCTTTCTGGACGGAGAGAACGTGAGTCCATGTCCTTTTGCTTGAGTTTACAGTGAATATCGGTGAATATCTCTTGCATCGGTAAAGGAAATTCACTCTGAAGGGGAATAAGAGGATAGTGAGAATCCTGGAGAGTGTAGATGGTGAATAATAAGGGAGATAGTGGAGGGACGAGTGTCAGATATATGCTGGGGAAGTGAACGGTGAAGCCGCCTGTGGATGTAAACAAACCTTTCCTTAGCGAGTACACGAGGGTTTGAAATTCGAAGTAATTCTCGAGTGCGAATAAGTTAAAATAAGTGAAAATATTCGAGAGTGCATTGGATTTGCGAGGTGGTGGTAGCCGGGAGGTAGAGGAAGTGCGCAAGGAAGGACACAAAAGTAATCTTGAACCGACTTGTAGGCCGACAAGCGTGGATGTGCTTTCGACCGAAGTAACATCGTGTTTTTTTTACGGAACTTGCAAATTGAATGACTTTTCATTGATGGATTAGGCCTTTCGACGTCATTAAACACGCCAGTTTACATTAACCGTTAATAGTTTGCGTTCATTACTCTAATTACTCTAAATTATTACCTTGTTCATTTTAATCACGATTTTGATACTCTAGAGTAAATGAGATTTGGATTTTCTTAACATGGGTCAACTTTACAGATTGGCATTTACTTTTTAAAATGAGCAACACAATTCAGTTTCAAATTGTGCCCATAGTTCGGCTTTTGGGGTACGTGGCTAGTGACCAGATTGGAAAGTTTAATGCTGACGCGCAAATGAATTACTAGTCACGGCAGGAGCTGTGCCATGTAAACGAGGTCTTCCTTGGTCACTTATTTAAGGTGCTGGGCTGCAAATGCACAGCCACAAATCATGGCATTGAAAATTAATCTTCAATTTTTATCTGTGCCTTCAAATTACATAGAAATGAAGTTTTGACCGTACCTACCACACTTTTTTTTGACAGTAAACTGTAGCAGCTCAAATTGAACAACAGCATACTTACTCCCCCGCGCAACTTGTAAACTTTCCAGTCGTAGCTAGCAGTTGGATAGCCTTTCAGTTTTGATTTTTTCTATTGTCAATTTGCAGTGTTAAATGTTGACAGTGTCAGTAATGAGTTTCTTTTTCCACATGAGGGGTTCTTATCAAGTTTTGGTAATTTGTATAAAGGAGAAAATGCTACATAAATGAATCCTTAAGGGGATAGGGTAATTTTTTCTAAGTCTCACTTGATGGATTGCAATGATAATGGTTTCATTGGAGTCCTCTCACTGCCTGCAATTCAAATATATAGGTTGTGTGGGGGGAAACCATGCAACCCCCTCCCCCCCTCCCCCACCATTAATGAAAAGCATGGCCCTGACCGGGTTGGAAAACATGCTGTGACCTTATCATGAGTCGCAGTTATGATAATTTTTTTGCACAATTTTTTCTTGTAGATATTTAATTTCCAACATAACACAATGAAAAATCCATCTATATTTTAAAAAACAAACATGAATAACATAGTAAGGGAGGGCAAGCAAGGTACAAGGGAAATTGCAGGTCAAAATATGAGTAAACACAGAATCATTAACTGTATCTCTCCCACCCCCCACTCCATCGAGGGAATAAACAAAGTAGTAAAGCTTCACATAATACATCTTCATCTCCGGAGTCTCACTCTTGTAAATAGATATTGATCTAAGGTTCCAATGGCATATTCTGGGTTGGAAGGTTTTTTTTATACTCTAGCATATCAAGTATATTGAGGTTAATTAGGCAAACTGATTGATGTACAGGCACAAATATAAATTTGTCTTCTAATACTTTCATAGGAAAATAATTCTACTTCTGTACTGACAATTTTTCTTTGCTGCAGACCATGGTGGAGACAAAGAAGCCTGCGGCCACGAAAAAGGCCGAAAAGGCACCTGCTAAGCCCAAGGCTGAGAAACCCAAGGCAGAAAAGCCTAAGGCTGATGCCAAGGCAGCCAAACCCAAGGTCGCAAAGGCAGTGGCTAAGGATGTGAAAGCCAAGCCTGTCAAGCCCAAAACCAAGTTGGAGCTCCTTAGGGAAAGGAAGCCAAAGGGTACCAAGCCTAAGGACAAGACCAAGCCTAAGCCAGTTAAGGAGAAGAAGCCCAAGCAGAAGGAACCTCTGGGCAAGAAGCCCCTTAAGGCTGGCTGCTACAGGATCTGGAAGGGCAAGAAGGTAGGTTTATCATTCAAAACTTGTATATAATGTATCTTGTTTGATAGCTTCTGGCTGTCAACTTTTTCTTAAGCTTTTTCAAAACGTACCACATTGAGGTGCATTAATGCAACAATCTGGAGAGCCTCCATGAAGTGTTGCCAAAGATAAACTTTAAAAATACCATTTCTCCAACACCATCTACCAAAATGCTCAGTCCCCGACACAGGGACAAGCATGTGTAGGGCTCTACATTTGCTTGTGATGTGCGGCACCAACCTCTTCCTGCAGGTGGTGGTGGTTCTAGTTCCACAAACAGGTGTTTAGCTGGTTGCTGATCCCACTGCTATGGGAGGACACCCAAACAATACACATCTAGGTACAGCTACACAAAATGTGATTGCCACCTGTAGACTTCTTTATGAAGTATCCTTCACTACAGGCCTTTCATTAATTTTACCAGAGGTGGAGACAGTTATAACAAAATTCATGGTATATTTTACAGATGAAAAAATATCCTTCTTTGTAAAGTACTTGGCATTTGAATAATGTCCATGGGAATGAAGTCTGGGATGTCTACAGGGATTCTTCCAATTATGCAGCCAAAATGCACAAGGCGCATAGTGCTTGATGTTGCTTTTCTTTTTGTGGCATTTATAGATTGGATAGAGAAAGTTTACATTTTTTTCTATTTTTTATTATTATTCATCCCCCCATCCTCCTTCCTACCCCAGTTACTATATTCAATTCAACAAATGTGTTTGAAGTGTTTCCTTGAGAGATGATTGTGTATAAATGTGTAATTTATTTGTGTAAAAGTTTAGTTCAAATATTTTAGGAAAATGGATAACTACTGACCTTTTATTCATTGTAAAGAGGAAGGATTCACTTTGGTATACAAATTAATTTTCATGCCAATTACTTAAAATATCTACTAGCTTTATAGTCTGAAGAACTTCAGCATTAAAAAAGCTACTTAGGTTTACTCATAGCAGTAGGTGTTTATCAATGCAAAATAAGTGCAAACGTACTCATAAAATGGGTTTATATATTAATAGGGTAACAAATTATTTTTTTTAGGAAATCATCAGAAGGAAGAACTACATTGTGAAGCCTATTGGTGGTGCCAACAATGGCAATGCCCGCCGTGTCCTTCAGAACAAGAGGCCTGCCTACTATGCTGCTCAGTTGAACAAGAAATACATCAGCAAGAGGAAGCCCAAGTATGTAGATGATGAGGGATTAAAGTTAATAAAAAAAAAAAAAAAAAAAAAAAAAATGGAGAATATAATGTATATGTACACCCCTTGACGTTCTTCTAGCTCCATGTGCTATGTTGATTAAGCATCTTTTTATAGCAGTATCGGATCTGTCATTGGTCGGGAAACAAGTCTTGCAAGATTATACAACCACAATGGAAGAATTATTTACCTTTTTTTTTCTCCCCCCTACCTAGGACCAACTTCAAGCGCCTCCGTCCTTCCATCACCCCAGGCACTGTGTGTATCATTGTTGCTGGTGTTCACAAGGGCAAGAAGGTGGTGTTCTTGAAGAGGCTAGTCAGCGGCCTGTGCTTGGTTACTGGTGAGTAGCTGGTGTTATTAGAAGGGATGGGGGGCATTTTACAATTTTGGTTTAATCTTGTAGTAGTTCATGGTGTCTGAAAGTTGTGATTTCTATTATATTTCTAGATGATATTTCTCTCCCTCCTTCCTCCTTCCTCTCCCTCCTTCCTCTTTCCTCTCCCTCCTTCCTCTTTCCTCTCCCTCCTCTGGCTCTTTCCTCTCTATCTTTCCTCTTTGCTCTCTCCTCTCCCTCCTTGCTCTTTCCTCTTTGCTCTCTCCTCTCCCTCCTTGCTCTTTCCTCTTTGCTCTCTCCTCTCCCTCCTTGCTCTTTCTCTCTCTCTCTCCTGCTCCTCTCTCCTCTTGCTGCTCTGCTCTACTGGCTCTCTCCTCTCCTCCTTGCTCTTTCCTCTTTGCTCTCTCCTCTCCCTCCCTTGCTCTTTCTCTTTGCTCTCTCCTCTCCCTCCTTGCTGCTTCTCTCCCTCCTTGCTCTTTCCTCTTTGCTCTCTCCTCTCCCTCCTTGCTCTTTCCTCTTTGCTCTCTCCTCTCCCTCCTTGCTCTTTCCTCTTTGCTCTCTCCTCTCCCTCCTTGCTCTGCTCTCTCCTCTGCTCTGCTCTCTCCTCTGCTCTTTCCTCTCCCTCCTCTCCTGCTCTTTCCTCTTTGCTCTCCTCTCCTCCTTGCTCTTTCCTCTTTTGCTCTCCTCTCTCCGCTCTTTCCTCTTTGCTCTCTCTGCTCTTATTGCTCTGCCCTCCTTTCTCTGTCTTCTTCCTCTTTGCTCGCCCTCCTTTCTCTGTCTTGTCTTTGTTTATATTTACTGTGATAAATGTCAGGTTCTTAACTTTAGAAAAATAAACTGCAAATAAGATTAAACTTGTACTACAAAATCATAATTCACTTTTCTCAGGTCCCTTCAAGATCAATGCCTGCCCACTCCGCCGTGTCAATCAAATCTACCTGATTGCCACCGCCACAAAGCTTGACATCTCCAAGGTCGAGATCCCAAAACACATTAACGACAGGTACTTCCGACGAGGAAAGACTGTGCGCTCCAAGAAGGAGGAGGGAGATATCTTTGGACAGAAGACCGAGGTAAGTCCAGTTGCCCGTCGTCATAGGTGCCATTGGATTTTCACTTCATTAATAACAAGGGAATGTTCTGCCAGCTTATGACATGTTCTCCATGTAACCCTTCGGGAATCGGAATGCTGCTAAGCCATTTTGAATTTTGCGGTTCTATACAGTAATAAAAATTTGTTCAATGTTCTATGCAAGTTTACAAAGAATTAAACTACCGCCTTCCAAAATAAATTTCTTAGGATGCTAGGCAAACCAGCTTGTTCTCTAATCCCTCAAAACAAAAGCGGTTTCTTTTTATCTCCCACTATATCCAAAATTCTTTGCTTTGCAGAAATATGTTGCTTCTGAGCAGCGAAAGAAGGACCAGGAGGCGCTCGATGCCCAGCTGATTACTGCCATCAAGGAGCGAGAGGACAAGAAAATGTTTTTCGGTTACCTGGGTTCATACTTTGGCCTCAGGAACAGAATGTACCCACACATAATGAAGTTCTAAATAAAGATGTGGATGGAATTCCTTTGCTATATTTTGGCCTTTTATCGCCTCTTGAGTAACCAGCAGATCGGTAATAATACACAATGCATATGAGTAGAATTGTGCTTTTTTCCTGCACATTGTCATTTCTTAACTGAACTTCACCATTTGTATAGTGTTCTTCACACACTTTTCGTTTACCTTAAGCCATAGGTCGTGCATTTTCTAAAAGGACAAGGAAATAACAATCACTTTTCTCTTTTATTATGAGAACGATTTCTTGGTACATTTGACTTGTGAAACATGTCGATGAACATGCATCCATCCACTCGAACAGAGTCCATCAGGCAAACGATTATCATATTCTGGGTAGCAAGACGTCACTGGGCAAAATGGTAAGCCAGTGTCCACGTGCTGGTAATCCGTACTCGGTTGTAATCAGTTTGTTGTAGCAGTCAGTGCGGTGCATTGCCATGATATACAGAAAGATAAAATGCAAAACCAAGAAAGTGGCACTATACAGCATTATAATTCCCTTAGTGTGCGAAAAGTGATGGTGCAAGAATGGATTTATATGAAGTGAAAGGGGAAGCCATGTAATGATTTCACAGGATCTGCAATATTGATGTTAATTGGATATCACAAACTACATGCGGGTGAATCCAAACCCGAACGATTTTATTACACGGTAAACCTTTCATAACCAAGCAGGGCACATGAACATTATCTATCCATAAACACTGCCGTTTTTACATTCTACAAACAATGGTTCTGCCGTTAGTTTTATAAACATGTGACAAGACTCTTCTGTATCAGACACCTTTTCTCCTTGAACGCATGGCTACTCATGTTTACTGGGAGAGTGAGACAGACGGTCGTATGCTTAAAGAAATTGTATACGGCAAATCATCCTTGGCAGTTTTCTTATGCTAGATTATTCACGGTTGTAGGAAGTCTTGCTGTAACTTTGGGACAGTCAGTTTCAAAAGTATAATGTTCTTATCCTCTTGCCGTATTTTGGTATGCCAGTTGATTTTTGCGGTATTCCGTAATGGAGGATTTTGCGCTTCGAAAAGTGGATTCTACAATTTTTTAAGCATACGGTCATAACAATATAAATAACCAGAGCTTAGACGGTAAACCAGCAGCTTCGTGGAGTGTCTGACTGTATCATTATATCATACCATTGTCCCGCCAGACTGCCAAAGCTAGACACACACACGGGCAGTGACAGTGACCCATGGTGCTCGCTCATGACAACGCGCACATTCCTGCTTAGCCTCATCATCTGGCATAATGATCGACAGCCAATACCTAAACGTGTGGACGCACCTTGGATGATTTTCTTTCCTTTCCTCCATCCTACTCTTCTCCCTTTGTCCGTAACCGACCCAGTCCTCAATACTTCCTCGCCAATTCCCTTTTCTCTCCACAGATCTGATCTACCGTCTTCCATTTCCCTTTTCTCTTGTTTATCCCTCTACCCTCCATTTCTTCCCTCCCCTTATCCCTCTATATCTATCTATCGCTTTCCTCTCCTCTTCCTCTAATCTCTCCCTCTCTTATTTGAGCTAAATGAGGTACATACGTTGAATAGTTTTAAAAATTGATACAGGAGATGCATCCTGAGAAAACATAACATATCACTCTTTCAGTAAATATTCAGACATTGTAAAGAGACAACATACAGTTCTTATAGATGAAATGGCAAATGACTGAAATATCTGCAGACGCGATAACAAGAGTATAAATGATAACTCAGGATATATTTACATTTTTTGTAAACGCTACCGTATTTTTTCTTTTAAAATATATATTTTTTTGATAAAATATTCTCTAATGACATTGTCGGAAGCCTTACACAATTATTAAATCTACCTGTAGACAAACACGGAACCAAGACGAAATTATGATAATTAGAGAATTACTATATATTTAACAAAAATAAGAAAATTCAGTGTTAAATAATTTGAAGGATTTTCTATGAAGAAAATGCTTCATTAGCTTCATATATTTCACCTACAGTTTTACCGATAACTATCCGAGGGCTTTTAAAATTGTACGAATGTATTACAAAATATAAATATTTGTAGAATAAAATCGTTGCAGTTATTGGCAAGTGGAATTGGCATATACATTTTTTTAGACTTAGATTCACAGCAATTTGTAATTCATATATCTTTTTTTTTTTATAACTGAGGATACAACACGTATGAATCCCTCAATTATATGTCTTATCGCTAAAGGAAATTATAAAATTACTCTAGGCATATAAACGTTT